AGGAATGCTTGTCATTTATCTTGCCAAAAGAGAAAAATTCCATCACCTTATCTGTCCATAAAAACCCAGAAAACAACAAAATGGGAGAAAACCTACAGAAACGGTAACCCGGAACGATGCTAACTATTCTCCACGGGCTGCAGAAAGCTGAGCAGCCCCTGGCTCCTTCATTTCTAGCAAAGCACATGCCAAAACACGCTCGAGTGCTCTAGTGTCTTAGGCTCTCATCTGCAGCTTATACAAATATTTTCCTAAATCAGATGCTAGTGCATAATTAACAGAGCACAGTGAAGCCGGCAAATTCCTACCCGGAGTTAAGTGAGGAAACCCACTGTAAACACAGCAACAAAGCCATTAAAGTATTAACGACTAAGAATGCCACAAGGAGCTGCAAAGGTCACCGAGCGCCACATCAGCCAATCCTTCACAGGTGAAAAAGGCATGACAAGATCAGCACTGCTGCTTTTCTGTGTATTTATAGTCCCACTGCTACAAGGGGCCTACGAAACAGAAACTACCACTCAAAACGAAAGGATTGAAATTACAGCCATAAAGGCTTTAGCTAGTTGCATTAAAGCATCAAGTATTTTACTTGCTGCAGAAACATTTTGGGATTAACAGCTTAGAGCCGGCCACAGCAACCAGGTTTTCCATGGAATTGAAACAAAATGTTTTCCTGGCGCTTGGGTGACGGGACCCCGACTCACCACTGCCTGCGGGTGGGATCGAAGGCCTTGTCCATGAGGGAGCCGGGGTAGATGCGCAGCACCCCGTTGGGGGTGGCGATGTAGCGGCGCACGATGTAGCTGTTGAGGCTCCTCATCTCCATCTGGGTCATCCACTCATCCGTGACGTGGCTGGTGGCCATGACCTCGTTGCGGACAGAGAACTGCAAGGCAAAAGGCAGAGCTGACAGGGTCCCCCCAACGCGCTCACAGAGGATGAGCTGCTCGCGGCGTGTCCCAATGACCCATCAGAGACCATCTAAGTGCAAGTAGATCATCTAACCTCGCACCAGCGAGACCTCGCGCTTCCTACGTGGGGGAAAGGCTGGTTATAACGAAGTGCCCTTGCTACTAGCTCCACAGTACAGTCTGCTTTGCAAAATTTCAATGTTTCAACAGAATTTTCTTTTTTATATTCCTAAAAGCCCAAAGATACTTCCCTCTAAGAATTCCTTACAGCTTTCACTTTTCCAGCATTCATTTTTCAGGGTTCTCACTGCAAATTTTCTTTATTCTCTGCCTCCTTTCCTCTCTCAGCTCTTTCACTTCTCGCCTG